GTACACAGCCAAATTCTCTTAATAACTATAGGAAACTATATACCATGTGTCCCAACTAAAACTTGTCAGCCCCTTAATCTGCGAACTCGTGAAAAAAATTGAGAATCGCTCAGCTCCGTCGATTTTTATTTCAAAGGAAAACACTTTCACCAAATACATCATCATTGTGTTGTCAACCCCCTCATCCCCAGCACCCCCAACTTCAAAATTTTCAATGGGACTACTATACTTGTGATACATCATTTTGAAGGGAATTCAATCCCAAATACATCGGTGTACTGAAATTGAGGATCGATCAAGTGTTGTTGAAGTTTTAATGAAAACTAAGTTCTGGGAAGATATTTTTATGTTCCATTACCTACCTAAAATGTTATCATCGTAAGACAGCTTCAAAAAGTGAACCATTCAGTTCCATACAGAAGCATGAACCGTTTTCGAAATGCCTTCGCACATTTCTCAACATTTCTGGAATCACTGCATGACACTTCACCACAATGGGGAATGTTCCTCCTGACGAAAATCAAGTAGTTTTCATAAAAGAGCTCTAAAACAACGCATTTTAAACTTATCATTTCAACCTTTTTCTTTAAAAAATTATTTAAATACTAACCCATTATGAAATTTCATTCATGTATTCCATTAAACCTTTCTGAACTAATATAAAGTTATTATTCATTATTCAATGTGTTCAATAAATACATTTTTCGCCGACTTTTGTAATTGAAATGTTTTATTTGTATAGAAGCAAAAAAAATATAGATGCACTCATATCTCATAAACGGTCAGAGATAGGTATAAGATATAGTCGATCGAAGTTGCTCACATTGGTTGGCTGAATTCGATAATTGAATAATATATAGGGTGTTCCGTTTGAAAAAAAATAGTTATGGTCGTTTTTCAAAAATACAAATTGAGTCATATTTTTCAGACAATCTGTATGGAAAAGATTTGAGTTTCGTTCTGAAATAATGACCACCATACATCATCTCATTGTTGCCAGAATTTGAGTTCCATGTATCAGTTAATTCATGCGATGTTGAATATTTAAAATACCATGTTTTTGACAAAAAAAAATACAAAATAATTATTATTTTAAAAACGGTGAGAGATAGGTATAGAACATGGTCCACAAAAGTAACTTGGATTTCGATGCAGAATTCAAAAATGATGTCTATTACATGTAGATATGGCAACAACGTGGCGATGAAAATATTCTTAAACGATAGAACACAGTTATCTACATCGGTAACCAAAATTTGAAACCCTCATCTTTTTTTGTTCTCTAGATACGTCTAATAGACCATCGAATATGGAATACCCTGTATATCATACGACATTATTATGATTTTTGTGGTAACTATTAATTTTTTTCTTCTCGTAGATACACTGCAATACAATATGATGTGGTGTGAAAATTGGAAAATTTTTCTGAATAAGTATCCTTAAACACGCGCTAAAAAAGGATGATAACTTTGACATCTCGAACGATCATCAATATGGCTTTCGGAAACAAAGATCACCCATATTTGGAATAACGCAATCAAGGAACATGGAGAATCAAAAGCTGTTGCGCTTGATATTTCTAAAGCCTTTGACCGTATGTGGCATGAGGGTTTGCTGGCAAAACTTCGATGCTATGGCTTGTTGGATCATTTATGTGTATGGCTCTCCAGCTTCCTAAGAGAACGTGTTCTGCGAGTGGCCGTCGACGGATATTTCTCGAATAGTTTTACTATCAACGCTGGTGTTCCCCAGGGATCCATATTGTCGCCAACCTTCTTTTTATTGTAAATCAGACTTATTGAAAAAAACAATAATCCAATGTATTGCTTTGCCGACGACAGCACACTTGTCTCGTCATTCCATTTGGATTCCAGGACATCGGCTACGGATGCATATCTTCACCGGCAGCAGGAGGTTGCATATCTCAATGAGGATCTGGAAGTGATTTCGAATGGGGAATAGTTCTCCTGACAAAAATCAAGTACTTTTCGTAAAAAAGCTCTAAAACAATGCATTTTAAACTTATCATTTCAACCTTTTTCTTTAAAAAATTATTTAAATACTCAAAAAAGAGGAATGAAATAATGCATTCAACATTTAAAGGGATTCGTTTCTATTTCACCATTTGGCAACATCGGTTATAGCTACTAAAGGACAATGAATCTGTTACCATGGAGACAAACAAAGATGGCGTGCTGTTCTATTTACTTATGTTCCGCGCTCCCAGACATTCTGTGACATATGACATTTTGTTCACCTAGCCTATCTTCCTCTATATAAATAAATAACAAAACAACTGTTGTTTATGTGGCTAGTGGAGGTGGTATTGAACTATAATTTATATTTTGTCTTAATTTGACACTATTGACATGATTCTTCTTCTAGCATACTACTAACCTGAACTCCGATCTAGCATTCTAGGCGCTGCTGCCAATATGTGAATTAGAAACAAATCCCTTGAAAAATTAAAACCCAACATTTGAAACATCAATTTGAATACTTCTCGAAGTGAATTTGAAAAACTCATGAATTGAACTCAACTTTATTTTGTCAAACTTGCATTTGCTGTAATAACCCAAATTGAGGAACACTCCCCATTCAATGTCACAGGCATCGGTTTTCTCCAAAAAGATAAATGTCTCCGAACCGGATATAATAATGTCAGGACAGACAATTCCGCTTTCTGCTTCGATAAGTTTGTTGGGGGTTGAAATGGACACCAACATGTCTTGGCCCAATCATGTCACGGGAATTGCAAAGGCTGCTTTTCAAAAGCTTGGAACACTGTTCCGAACCAGAAAACTGTACACCCCTCAGCAACTTTTGATGCTTTATAAAGCCCAGGTCAGACCTTCTTTGGAATATTGTTCTCATGTATGGAGCCTAAGCATACCCTGAAGCTGCTGTATTCCATCCAGAAAAGAGCCTGACTGTAGACGCGAACATCACTTGCAACCTTGATAGTCTGAAACATCGAAGATTTGTCCCTCTTCTATATATACTTTCACGGGAAGTGTTCAAGTGACTTGGAATATTTGATTCTACCAAGAGCGGGACATATCAGAAATACGCGACGAACTGTGACTGATCATCGTTTTGAGGTTCAACTCGCTACACCTCAAACTTCACTGTTCATGTACTCTTTCATTTGGAGAACTGCGTGTATATGGAATAAACTCTCTGAGAACGTTTTTTCATTTGGATGTGAATCGCTACTTTCGCACAGGTATCGCTATCAGAACGCCTTAAGGATTTTCATGTAGTGCTTGTGTTTTGCCCTTCAAAAAAAAAACAAACAGCTATTACGAAAGCCCATCAGTCTTTCTGTAGGTTTCTGTGAATGCACACGATTCGTATATAAACGAACCCTTTTTATTTCACGAATTCCAAATTACTACGAAACTCACAGGTATACCCAACTTTCACAATTACGATGGTGACATAAAATGGTGCCTGGCACAGAAACTTTGCCTTTTAATTGTGGCAATTTTCATCTTTTCCGGTCGCAGTTGAATTGTTAAACAGTTATCACACACAAACTTGATAGTTTGCAAGAACATAAACTTCTCACCCACAGAGCTTGTTTTAAATTATTACTTACTTCTGTATGCCAGGAATTATTTGTGTCAGAAGTGGAATAACAATTTGCAAACACTATATCTAGCTGCATTGAGTATTTGCACTGAAGCACACATGAACTTTCGAATAGACAATAATTTATTTGAAACTTTGGGATCGTAGCTGTAGCCAGAAGTTGAAGAAGTTGAAAATAAAATTATTTGATGCAGCTTTGAACCTTTGTACATAGAAGAGTCAGAAATGGACGTTGCCAAAAGTTGATAACATTGTCAACAAAGTGGTGTATATAATTTTATTGATAAGTTTTTGTTTTTTTTTTTTATCAAGAGCTGATCCAGAATCTTACCAAAGAGAGTCCTAATGAATCTTTTTATTGAAATCATAAATATATCTAGTAGAATTATACTTCCTGAATGAAGGAATAATATGTTGGATAGGAAATCGATAGAAAATAATTAATTTCAAGAAAAAAAAAATGAAAGCTATGTGACTATCTCAATAGAGAGATGAGTATTTAGGTTAAAGTAGAAAAATGATAGATGACAGAAAAGATGTACAAAATATTTTGAATGTATTTATGTTACACCTCAGAGGGAACAGATGTTAGATGTTTGTAAACCCCAGTAAAATTGTGATTGTCCCCTTTAACAGAAAGGGGAATCTGAATAATTACAGCAGGAATGACCTATGTTGTCTAACATTCATTCATCAAGCCAGCTACTAATGAAGATAATGTCTTCTTGCTGTTGAAGAAGATCCTAGTAGGAGTCAATGACAAATTGGTGAAATAATGTATATAAGTGAGAGATCAGTGCAACGAGTTTTGAAGAAACATCGCTTTCATCCGTCTCATTCCACTGTATACCGATTTTGAAAAAAGAGTGAGATTTTGCAATTGGGCCATGGGAAAAATTCGTCGAAACGAATATTTTTTCAATAACATTTTATGGTCGGATGAATCGACATTTCATAACAATGGATTTGTGAATCGACACAATTACCATTATTATTCGACAGAAAATCCCCACTTATTGAGACAGGTGGACTATCAACATAGGTGGTCGATAAATGTCTGTTAGACAGGTCACTGTAGCTGGAATCATGATAAACAAAGACCCGTCAAATCACTCGCCAAAAAGCTGATCGGCTTAACCAAAAGCTGGACTTATTTGAATTCTAATATAACCTAACTTATACCTCAAACAAGCGATTCGTGCAAAAAGAAACTTCTCCAGGAAATGTTATGACGTGAATGGTTGTCGTTAATTATACGGTTGTGTTTGAAGCCAAGAAAGGTCTTACACTCATAAAATTCTATTTTCTATTCTCCCTTGGCTGGTGAAAAACTAGCTATCAATTGTCAGAAGACACAACTTTGGATCACGGTAGAAAGTCATGGGAATACTATAGCATAAATGTAAAATTCAAAACTTTTTAATCCAAACTCGATCATTATAAAATCAAATACTTTCCAAATGGGTTGCATAAAAAATTGTACAAACACGCCCACAAAAGTGAACTCACAAGTTACTATTATTCCGTAATCCCCTGAAAGTTATGAATTACCCCCACTCCCGGTTGAATCTTCCCTAGAAGACTCCACGACTTGCTTCCTCATCTGGGTGAGCTGCCTCAAGAAAGCACTAGGACTGCACGTAGACGTCCTCCTCATGTACCTTCTCCTCGGGAGACTTCCATAGTCTGAAGATGCTACTGGATGGCTATCCAGACTGGAATCGTCAATATCACTGGCTCCGGGCTCCTCTAAGTAAGGGTTCGGATGAATTCCGTCGTTATCACCACGGAAGTCGTGTTGGGTTAGTCTAGACCTCGGCACCCTTCGGATCTTCTCTTCCAGCCTCCTGCACGAGTCCTCTAGAATCGCTTCGTATTTGTTAACTGGCATACTATACGGCATATCATATTGAGTGGACGAGTTCGTTCTGATAGGTGACAACGTTTGAATGCATTTTTCGTGCGGTTCTTCGCAGTGACTACTCCCTAATTTCTTACTTTTGTTCCTGAAACTATCACCCGAAGATTTTTTCCTAGTTTTTCTGAAGCATCTTTCGAGTCCTTTAACCTCGTTGACAGTTACCTCCACGTCATAGTCCACCGGAGGAGATCTACTCCTATCTATCTTTGCTATCAGTTGGGTGGCTTCCTCTAAAAACGAAGCCATGGCATTGATCATCCTCTGGGTGTCTTCTCCACCCTTTTCTGAAAACTGGACTCTCTTATTCGCCCTGTGATACTCCAACGAGTCCTTGGCGGTGGCATCCGTCTCCTCTTCGGTAAAGGATTGGTTCTTGACAATGGACTTCAAGACGAGTGGTTCCTTGACAACCACCACCTCATCGCATTTCCTTCTGTCAGTCTCCACCAACCTCGGTAGACCAACACGAGGTTTGAACTTCGGAAAAGGCAAGCAGAACTCTTCCTGATACATCCTGGACATGTAGACTTCGGGGGCGTAGCTTTTCGACATTAAAACCGACGGGGCTAGGTTTGCAAACTTCGGAACTGTACTACACGTGGCTACGTTGAAAGCTTTGAAGCCATTAGGAGGGTTGAATGGCTCACTTGTGAAAAACTGGAAGCCGACGTCTTCTATACTCTCGTGGGACAAGTCCTGGTCAACCCCTCTCGAAGACCCTTGATGGTCCAAGGAATTGTGGTTGCTCAGCAAATCAGGTGTCGCCAGACAGTTATTTTGGCCAGGGTGTTCCAAGCTGTCCTCGCTGTGGCTGTTACCAACTCTTTCTCCATTTACGTAGTTATTAGATATGTTGATGTTTACCGAATTGGTGTAGATGGAGTTCTGGGGCAAGTCATCTTGAATATCTCTGAGGTACTTGGTAAAAGACATGGGCGTCGCGCTTTTTGTAGCCCCTCTGCTTTCTTCTCCTTCCTCTGTGGATTGGGTACCGCAAGTCCTGGTGAAAGACACCGATTTCCTATGATCAGGATCCTCAAACGTCTGTAGGGTATTACATTCGATAGATGCATCTTTAGTATTGACGATATCGTAGACTGTCGCGGCTTCTTTCACCTCAGTCAGCTCCAGCTTAAGATCGTTTACGTCCGTCGCCGTTTCTTTAACTCTTCTAATTTGCATCACCTCTGTTTGGGTCTCCTCGTTTTTGTTCCTATGCGCCCGCAGAGCCTTCTTGGTTATTTCCTTCAGTCTTGCCCTAGCGTTGTCGCAGATAGAGAGCTCCTTTGGAGTTACTTCCACCAGGCTGTACGTATTGATATCGTCAGTGTCTGTTGAAACCTCTTTGTTCTTTATTTTGGAGTACAACCGGCTTGTCACGGCAGCTACAATTTGGGCTCGAGGTTTTACTTGGCGCTGTCTGATGGAACCCACTTTCGACTCAACTTTGCTCAGAGAAGATAAAGTCGACACCGCCTTTTCGGTTTTCTTCGAGGGCCCTTCCAACGACCTCCGCTTGGGAATGGTTTTAGGAAAATTTGGGCTCGGTTTAGTCAGAGAAAGTCTTCTGTAGGAGCTTTGGGACGTTCCTCCAGTAGAGTTCAGCGAGCCTCTCTCTGAAGACAAGTTGGAAATCAAAGACTTCGTACTCGTTGAGCGGAGTGAATCATCAGAACCTAAACTGTTCAGTTTTTCTCGCTCCATTTTGAAGAGTGTGCGATCGACGCTAAAGGTTCTTTTCAAAGTCGTGGGTTTGATCTTTTTCAGTGAGCTGTTTACGTTCATCAACGGTACTAGTTTCTCCGTACTGAGAAGTTCGTTTATGCTTTTTTCCAATATAATACTCGTCTTGTTCTCGTCTGTAAGATTATGTCCAGTGTGATCTACAATCGGTTCAATTTCTATTTTTTCTTCTGTGAGGCCCACAGAGGCATCGATTTCGTGATCCTTTTGAAATTTTGTGGTGATGACATTGGCGTTACTATTCATTTGAATTTCTGTAGAAATCTGGAAATGAAAATGCTCTGTTAGACCTCATGATGATGATAAGGATTTTGAAAACTGTTGATTTGTGTGACAGTTCGTGACAAATATGACTTGTTATAGGAGATTGGGTTTGAAAACTCACCAAAAAATATTTCGTGGGGCCTGGCGTTTGTATAAAACTGGATCATCTTAATTGAAATGCAGTGTTTCAACCGAATCGTCGATTTACTTCTCATTTTTTACTCAAAGAGGAAGAATACAAAAAATATTCTTCAAAGAGCAAACGAATAAACATGTCAAACTCTAACATAGTTTCGAATGACTTATGACAACTTTTACTCAAATGACTATAGTTATATAAAATTTAGTTACTGCATGTTCGATCAGTGCATATATCTTCAATTTTTGTAATTTCAATTTTTTTGTCGATGGGGATAACTTATATATGGCGAATTTCATTAAGTGAGGAAGAGAAAGCTAATTTTTATCACAAAAATCAGAATTTGTTTTCACAGTATGAGTGGTATTTTACCAAACATCACCTAAACAGATTTTAAAACAAAACAAAATCAGCAAGTAAAATATAGTTGTATAACGAAAAAAGGAATGCAACAAAAGGGCAGAGGCAGCTCATCACGCTTCATATGACCGTAAAGTACTGAAACACAAGATGCAACCAACAGTTTAAATTTTGTCCAGAAGAATATGACGAACTTCTCACAAATGTCTCCTACAAACAACAACGGCGAACCATAGCATTTGAATTAGTTCCATGAAAAGACTGAACACACTGTATAAGTTCGTGAGATTGCAAATTTTTCAGAAGGTTTGAAACAACTTCTCCAAGCAACAAAAAACTGTACAAAGTCAAATCAAGTCATTAGAGAGATTCCATTATTGGCCACACAATATTTTGAAATTCAATGGGCTTGTTTCATGCTATTGAAAACGATACTGGTTCGCTTATAGACTAATCGAGTAAGGGGTATATTACACTTATCAAGCCTAATCGGTCCCAAGATCTCTTTATATTTGCAGAAAAAAGAACAATTCGAGAAGCAAGAGTTTAAATTGGCCGCGTGTCTGTAGTCCAATAAAATTCATCGTGTCTACAGCGATATTGCCAAGTGTATGTTTTTAATATCCAATCACAGAACTAAAATATAGTGATCCAATTTGACAGACGTCATTTTTGTTGTTATTGTTATCAACTCGGTGTGAATACAACTGTTATAATCCGATTCGTTTGTTACAATTTTTGAATTAAAGAACATTTCCTTCTATAAAAGGAAGGTTAAGTCATTTCCAACCATGATTTTCGTGTAGGTACATTTTATTTCATGTGGAACATGTTTTCATTAATTTAAATATTAACGGGTTCATTTCTGTGATATCAACATAAAAATGTCCACTGCCGGAAATATTTTTAAAATAACGTTTTTATTGCGTTTTGTGTCATTTGGATCCCATGTATAAATAATTTTCTCTTCCAATGCATTTCATGCACTTGTTTCTTAGATTTAGTTGTCGAAAGTGACTGTGATTTTACTTTGAATCACGAATAAATCCGTGAATTATACGATTTGGCAATGTTGATTATTTGTATTGTTCATATTGGTCAATCGAATAAGAAGCGGGACTAGGCCCGTGACGTGAGTGGCCTAGAAAATCCGATTTTTAATAATTAATTACGGGAAAACAACGGTATTTAGAAAGCTGAAACAAAGTGCACTGTTTTCAATTTGAAATTACTATCAAATGAACTGTACACCAAAAATCATGAAACAAGCCCATTGTCTTGTTGAAAACAGATAGCTACTTAGAGATTGATTACTTGTTCATTTAGTATGTTCATTGATTTCTTCTTCGACTGTTATCATTCTCCTCACTATATTTCAATTTATTGGGTGGTTTATGAATCTGAGTCTCATCGAAAAGATGGACATAGGATGGATTCATTGGATCTACTTTCGAAGAGGAGATCTTCAGAAAAGGTTGAACCAATTGCGGTACCTCTTTACTTCTGATCCTCTCTTTGATATCACTATTGACCCTCGAGTTTCAGTACTACGATAGAACAAATTTCGTATCATCTAGCTAGATGAAAGGCAGTACGTAGAGAGAAGACAATTGTTTCAAAAAAATAAGGTGTAGCACTTCTGGGTCATTTCCCAGTTACCAGATACTATATACGTATAAATAAGTACATATGAGGTGCTCCCTGTAGTTAACATCCTGGCTACGTCTTCATCCAGATGGCTCTGGATTTTTTTCTCACAACAAGTTAAACATTTTCACTTGAATTAAGGACTTACTTAACTCAACTAATGCCATCTCTTCTGCATTAGGAACAAAATCTTTGTCATGTAATCTAGACCTTCATTGCTGATATAGAGTCTGGCAATGTGGGTAACATCGTCTGTGGTACAGAAGAGTCATCACCGAGGAGTACATCTTCCACCTAAGAAACTGCATCCATACTATTAAAAAAACATTTGACTACTTTATCTTTGTTCTTTCGGTCTATTTCGGTCTCTCTCAACTTATATGTGAAGGTGAAGCCTATGACTTTAATAAATATTACTGGAGTTCTATCCCAACACCAAATCGTTATTTTCAACACCACCATTACCAAGTGATCATATTCAAGAGGATGATTGAAGTATCCAGTTTAATCTTCCACCTGAAGATGATAACTTGGTGACTGAAACACGTCAGAGGATGTTAGCCACTCGCGCCAGCAAGAAATTTCAACAGGCGATGGCCTAAAAACCCAAACCGCAACAGTTTCAAAGTATGGCTGAGGAAGCTTAAACTTCTGAATTGCTACAGACTTTTCGACTATTTTGAGAATTTCAAGATAGCAAAAAGAATCACATTGAATTTCAAATGTTTCAATATTCATAACGGTTATTCTCCTGTTCTGAGTAGGATTTGTTCTGGGTTCGTAGGACACATTGAAACATGCATGTGAATGTCCAAATTATAATTTGATATGTTTTGTAATTTTCTCACCTGCAGAACGCTGAGTATTTCCTTCAACCTGAATATTTCTGCTCGCAGCTCTCGAATTGTCTTTTCTTTTGGGTCTTCGTTGACTACTGGACGAGAAATAATATTTTTGGCGCGTTGCCCAAAACGCAAAGTGTTGACGGTCTCACTATAGCACGCGCTAGAAGGAGAAACAGCTGAAAGAGACAAGGTGGATTTAATGAAAACTTTGTTGCATTCCGTTTAGAGTGCTGTTACAAGGACTTCGTAAATGATTCGCATTTATATACAGGATGGCAATGGAAGTAGGATTGGTAAATTCACTTTTTGAATTTCTTGACATGGTAATTGTTTTTTCTACACCCGTACTCTAACAATACACTTATATGACCATAATCCGTTTCATAATGATATCCATTATGATACAGATTTTTCATAACGATACAGATTATCAACCAATAGAAACCCATAATTTTTCAATCAAGAATCCTGTTCCTTTGTTTGTCCTAGATTCTAACCTAAGTAACTAATTGCTTTATTTGTCAAAATCAGTTTTCATATTACCTACCTATATTATCAAAACAGCGATATAGAAGTAATACCATCGACTCCAATATTTTTAAAAGATCAGATTAATTACAGTTGCTATATTCAATATAAATATAATTAGAATCTTTATAGTTTTCATATATCCAGGATAATACCATTAAATTTGTGTTTTTTTTTAAAAATATGAGTTAATTACTGTAAATGTGTTCGATACAAATATAATATTTATAGTTTTTCATTATTTATCGGGTTTAGAAAAAATAGCGTATGCAACTCTCATGTAATGGTTATTAATACACTCGCATATACCATACAAAACTCGCCTTCGGCTCGTTTCTTATCCCGGTTAATGCTCGTGTCTTAATAACCATCATTACATGATCGTTGCATAATATGCTATTATATCACTCTCGATTTTTTCGCAATTTTTTTAAACACTCCATATTTGGCACACTCCTTAGCCAATGTTACGGGTTTTTTCCTGGTTCAGCCAGAGTCTTTATATAATATATATAATGAGTTTTATTAGTTGTTACTCTGAAGGGTGAAACCATATCAAAATTTTATAGTGCTCTACCACGTACGTATTTCCTAAGTAGTTCAATTAATGCAATCTTTTTCTTTAGAGAAAGAGAGAGAGAACGTCTATATTACGTTCTATATTACTCTCTTTCTAATATACTAGTAACTAGCTATGTACGTACTAGGGGTTGAAACAATTCTAATTTATTTATATAGTTAAACACTACAAATAACTTGCCTGGTGACGAAATTGGGTGTCAGAAAAAAAAGGAATAATCAAAGAAATAATGGTAGTACTCATCCGATTCCTTAGCTTTCCTCTCTTTTTGGCTGCAACTTGGAAAGTTGAAACTGCACTCCCCCAACTTCCAGGAAGTAGCGGAACTGTCGAATTTTAGGTATTCCTTCATTACGTTATCCAACAGCATAAAACGAAAAAGGCCTTTAATGAAGGGTGGCCTTAGAGTCTGATTTCAGTTTTGTATCCCCTTTAAAAGAGGTAATAACAACTGAGCTCACAATACTAGTGTTCAAAAATGGAACACGGCAATTCAATCCCCAATCGTGAGTAATAGTAATGAAAAATAATCCAGAACTCCTATTTTCACATTCACTAAATAAACACACTGTGCTCCTGCCTAAAATCTTTTATAACTGATTCGAATTTCAAAATGTTGAAAAGGGTCTAGGTTCTCGTTCACGAATAAAAATAATTAATATCATTGGTGAACTTCTTGGTCCCACTCATGAGAATATTACACCTAATTTGGCAGCTAATTTATGCGGAGCGATATTTAAAGTTGACGAGACATCGAGAATCGTACCTAGTTGCGAACTTTGCAGAACAATGACTTTGATATAATTTATCGAATATGCGAAACAGACAGACAACCACTCTAAGATAAATTATACTGTAACACAAATTTACTTTACCCTTTATGCGCCGTAAGTAGACGGCACAAGTACAGCCAGAGTAGAAATTAATTTTAAATTATGTTATTAAAACTGTGCCAGAACTGGCTGGCATCTCTATCGCCACAAAGAAATAACCAGGAAAGGAATTTCTGGCAAAAAATAACAATCTGCACTGATAGTAGACAAGCCTTATTTAGCCTTGATCAGATAACGTGTTACCTCAGGGCTAGTACTAGAGGGCCACCAAGAATCGGTAGATAATAACATTATCCTGAGGTGGGTTAAAGGGCACGATAGGAGTAAAGGTTATCGCATTGCCGACTCTTTAGCCAAAGAAGCGGCTAGACTGAGAATTTTAGGACCCAGTGGCACTTACGGCCTGATGACTTCGACAATTGCGGAACTAGCCAAACGTCACACCCACGGTAAATCTCTAATAGCAGGGGAGCCCACGATGCAGAATGGGGATTTACTCGAGCGTCCTACGTATTTTCAATAATGTTGGTATGTTAATCTGATCGTTTGCATGATGTGGGTGGCTGTACGTGAGGGTTAAAAGTGAAAAGAAAAAAATCAATCGAGCGCGTCAGATTTTCTAAGAGGGTGTTAAGTGCAACAAAAAAAAAGCTCTCATTCAATAATCTGACGATTTCGATCTGACGCAAACTCACGGCCATTATTATAATGTGCAAAAAAAATTCGCCATTTTGAAATACTCAAGCGCGTCAGATTGAGATATATATGGTTCATATGGTTCATCTTTATGTTTTAGACGTGATGTCTCATAATCTGACGATTATCTATACGCTCGAGAATGTCGAAATGACGTTATTTTTTTACAACTTTTCTGCCCTCTCCTTTCTTTACGTCACTCTCAAATTGTCAGATTACTGGAATATACACTTTTTAGCAGGTAATCAACTCACCCTACCTTAATCTGACGCGCTCGAGAATTTCTGATAATCATTTTTTTTTTACTTATCTGATCGTTTATCCCTCACAGACGGCCTTATATATGGGGCTCATATTTGGTGGAGGTACTTAACCGGGTACAAGGTATCACCCTGTATATTAATCTGCTGCGCTTTAGTAAATCCCGAAATCCCCGCTTGGGCTCCCCTATTATAAAGAGATGGTATGGAATCAAAGGATACAATCTTGCCTGGATCACCTTGGGCGACCCTGGGAAGCTGGCGCCGAAGAAATATCTGGCGATGACCAGGAAAAATCTACGCTTAACAGTAGGATTTCTGACTGACCACTGTCAACTAAGAAAACACCTCCATAATATGGGGCTAGTGGACACAATTCTGTGCAGGATGTGTGAACAGGAAGATGAAACTGTCAGGCATGTTCTATGCGAGTGTCCGGAGTTATCGTCAATAAGAGAGTGTGTGTTCGGCGAGTCTAGGCCTACACCTGCCGATATAGAGGAGATGTCTCCTAGTGACCTGTTCACCTTCCTGGAAAGGACAGGATGGACGATGACCTAGGAGGACAACTCCTTGAGAGGATGTACAATGTGGCCTAAGTGTTATGGGCCTACACTCACCCTCCCTACTCTACAGATACAGATGGGGAGATGTCATCGCCTTTATTTTCTCAGATTTATAACTTCAAGGACAACTGAGTCCAGCAATAGCTTAGTCTGACATCACTCATACGTGAAACAGAGCTGTGTGATGTTGGATCATGAATGTTTTTGAATTATGGTTCAATTGGTCTGTTCCATACAGCTATTCAAATCTAGCACTCACCCTCTTTTAAAGAATGAACGTCTAGTGGGCGAGACCATGAAATGATTTAGAAAGCTCTTCCTACATATTCCTATATTATTCCATAAAAATGTATCTACGGGTGACCTACTGTCGAGTTTTGAACGGAAGAGATTCAGTATACTGGACCATCTTAGTAAATTATCTGCATCGGTAGCATAGTGTAGAGGTTTCTAAATTATGAGTGTCATTTTGCCATGTATTCCAAGATGTCTACAGATTGCTCTAACTTACAAACTCTGATTTCATGTGTTCTACTAAATACTCGTTTGTAGGTCTCATTCGGGTCCTAAGACAATAAGTGATTACTGCCTCTTTGGTAGTTAATAATGATGCAAAGATTTGATGATTTTGATGTTGACTACTTGAATATTCGAAAAGAGAACTTTGGGTGATTGCTTGTAGATATCTGAAATGTTGAGAGCGAATTGTTGGAGATAAAAATATCAATTAAATTGCAATATATTGGTTGAAGAGTATTGAGAATGCTTTTTTGTCCTAAAAATGTCTAACAGTATACTTTGAAGTGAAAATATTCTGAATTTTATATAAAATTAAAAAATTTTCAGTTATTTTAGACAAATGTCCATGTGCCTAAAGACGAGACCAATTTTATTTAAACTTTTATAAAAAAAACAATTTCAACACTCCTCAGAATATGTTCCAATATTTGGATCAATCTCTTACTATAACTTTTACTACAATTAGGAGATTTAGTAAATATTTTTTGAGAAATATATTATTCATTAAATGAATGTCTCAAAAAAAACTCACTTGCCACCATGACAGTGTTTGAATTTCCACCCAGTATGTCTTTCAACAGCCATGTCAGAACTGAGTCTCGGTACGGGACGAACCTTCGTCGAATCCCCTTGGCCTGTTTGGATGTCTGCTCGGCTGGAATGAAAATCACGCCGAAATTAGATCGAAAAATGCAAGGAATTAGATGGAATCAGCGGCGGACCTATTCGTTTTTATCTGTGGTAATATTCTCGATAATTTTTTTTTTTTAATATGGTGTAATAACTGAAATAACTCATTGAGGAAAACATTTCAAAATATTCACTTCTCTCAATAATAAATACGTCTGTTCAAAAAATTAATGTTCAAATTTCGCGGGCTACATACATTCGATTCATGATTTTGGTACACTCGTCTTGAACATATGTTCACAGTTACAGTTTTTAGCATGTTTAGTTTGTTGGTGAGCGGCATAAAAGTTAGGAGTGTTTTGCATGTTCGGCGATTTTCTGCTAGCGATAAAAAATGGATCAAAGAATCTGCTGCACCAAATTTTGTGTGAAAAATTGAATTTATTGTTCAAAAAACACTTGAAATATTGACAGTAGCATACGATGATTATACTCTGGGTCAGAAAAATGTTTACAAGTGGTGCACGCTTTTCACAGAGGATCGAGAAGATGTGAATATTTAAACCAAAAAATAAATTGATGGATGTAGGTAGGAGATCATGATGAAAAGGGAAATGAAAATTTCTATATTTTTTACCCCTTATGAAGAATGAACTGGTTTCTCAAATTTTTATAGTAGGACTTTTATATTCTGTGGAAAAACATTTCGTATATACCTTCATATTTTCTACAATTTGTGCAGTAGGAGGTCTAGTTTTGATGGTGATCATGATAAAAAAATTCCTTAAATTAACACCAGTTCAACCCCCGTATCTTGGATCGATTACAATTTATTTTTCATGCAATAAACATACTACGAGTATTTTTTTCGATTCTTTTAATGCTGATCAAATAATGTAAACTTTCACGGCCGGAGATAACTGTGGTCAACAGTGAGCTCGCGCGGCATTCACTTCGAACAGAGCTTTCTCATGGTTAAATGATCATGCAATATAAATCCAACACATTCTTTTGATATCTTTACAATGTCAGCTTCACTTTCCGATCATTCAAAACGAGTTTGTAATTTTTTTTAATGTTTTCTGGTGTTACTGTCCCATTCGGACGTCCACTGCGTTCTATATCGTCGGTGTACCTACGACCACGTTCAGTCACCAAACCAACGTTTAATTATTGTTTCAGATGGAGCGGAGTATCTATAACACTCTTCAAACCATTGCTTCGCTTGAACGGTATTTTTTCCCATCAAGAAGCAGTGTAAAATTAAAACACGAAATTGTTTTTGACCCATTGTTTTGAAAATAACAAAAGTAATGTCACTCTTAGCACAATAACTCGCAAACTTATGACTATAATGTCATGAAATTTCAAAAGCTTTCTTTTGAACGTTAGTACTAACTAAAACAGCGCCATTTATGTGTTAGACCGAAAACTTTTAGGCCCATGTAGATTAGTGTGAAGTTACCCACAACTTTTCATCCACAGTTTATGACGAAGGACAATCGAACAGGGATTAGAATGTGATTTGCGAACAGTATTGCCAGATTGCAAATATTAAGAATTTTACCTGTATTTCGATGTTATCATTTTGAAAACACGATATATTATTGAGACATGTCGAATAAATGAGTCAGCATTCTACATAAACTCATTATATCAGCCAAATGTCCCTATACAAGCATTAATACCGAAAAAAATGTAAAATAAGAGTATAATATTATTCACGAAAAATTCATTTGTACCGAAACAGGTAGCGTATGGAAACTGGAAAATTGGTTTCTCGGTAAAAATTTTATGACTTGTAAAAAGTATATCATTTGAAATATCCAATCGTACGGGACCCTACTGCATCATTAGAAAGGAAGTTGTATGAGACTTTGAAAAAACACCAAGTCTATTATTCGAAAAAAGAGAGATCATCGCTAACACCGCACCACAGTAAGCCCCCTCACTTGTATGGACTGCCCAAAATCCACAAGAAGGATTTTCTGCTTAGACCAATCCTTAGCTCCAGAGATTCAGCTACTCAAAGCTTGTCCAGATTTTTACTACCAATAAATTGTGAATAATTCAAGGCATTTTGTCGAACTACTAGGCGCAATCGAAGTCACAGAGCAGGATCAACTAATCAGTTTCGACGTGGAAACCCTCTAAACCAACATTCCTGTTCAAGAAGAACTTTAAATCATACAGAGAAGCTATCCGAAGATGGGGACCTGAAAGATAGAACAAACTTACCGATACAAGTAATCATGGAATTACTAGGAAGCTGTGTACGAAGCTGTGTACGAAACTGCTATTTCCAACTGAAAGACGAATTCTTTACGCAAGATGAGGGGCTGCCAATGGCATCGCCACTTTCACCAGTTATAGCCAACATATATATGGAGTGGTTTGAAACTCTGGCTGTTGAAGAATCCCACAAGAAGCCCCGAGTCTGGTTGAGATACGTTGATTGACGACAACTTCATAATATGGAACCATGGGAATACAGAACTAAACACCTTCCTGAAGCACATCAACAACGCAAGTCCTTATATGGACACAATGGAGAAGGAAGTCCACAACGAATTGCCATTCTTAGACATATTAGTGAAGAGAACCGACAATGAATGGGAAACATATGTATATCGAAAACTCAGTCACACGGGACAGTATCTGAACCAGGAATCCAACCACCATCAATCGACCATGAGAGGAATCATCAATATTCTAGTAGTCCGTGCTTTCGAGCTCTGTAATACAAAGGATGGTCTCGAAGAAGAACTAGGCATCATCAAAAACGACCTTATATGGAATGGTTACTTCACAGTGACGGTGAAACCGACTCTAGCTAGAGGACAGAAAGAGCCTCACAAAAAAGAGAAGCCGTCACATCCAGTACTTGTATTTCCCTACATCAAAGGACTGTCTGAAAGGATAAGAAGAATTGGGTTCAAGTATAACATTAGAACCTGCAGCCTCACAAAAACCAGGCCACCAAATGCGGACTGCGATTTCAAGAATTGCATTTACCAGATACCCTGCGAGTGCGGATAATCATACATCGGTGAAACTAAAAGGCCATTGAAAGTTCGTATTGCCAAGCACAAGACACACACACAGCAAGGAGAAACCAGCAAATCAGGAATAGCAGAACATGTTTGGACTAATGTTTGGTCTCAAGCTGAAATCATCCACTAGAAGGAACACTGGTTTAGAAGAAAATTCAAAGAAGCCATATATATGTTGTCCAATAACGCATTCAGCCAAGCTGGCGTAGATTTACGCAAAATAAGAAAACTTATAATCAAGCGAAACACGACAACTTCCCGCCAAACTGTGAGCTCCCGCTTAAAGCGGAGAGAGGGAAGAGGAGATAAGTGAAAGTCCAGTTATCACCCGAAGACCATTGTGAATACTAACAATCGAAACGTCGTGAAGTAATTTGGCTTAGAATCTTTTAATTTTAATTTTTCATTTCTTGTTAAAAAAAAATAATTTTGATTTATTGTTAATGGTTCAATTTTTAGTTGTTGCTTGTATTTTATTTCATTATAATTTCAATTTTTTTGCCTAATATAATTGTTATTTTTCAGCTAATCTTTTTAATTTTTATAGATTTCTCCAAGGATTTTAAATCAACTTATATCATAATTAGACAATGGAAGTCCAAAAATGAAATGCACCACGAAACATTGTCAACCACCTTCAAACAAACACATGATTTTATTCACCATATCTTACCTGTATACATTGTTCCACCTTGCTTTACACTTTTTTTGTACAAATTTATCTTTTTACATGGAAAGAGATATTTCTTGTCAGGCTGATAGTTTATTGTGACCAAGTTGAGGTTAAATATTTACGTTGATACGACTGCTTTGCTCGAGTATTATAAATTTAAATTGGATTTAAATTAATTCATTTGTTTTTCGGCACCATATTCTGACAAAAAATATAGATTTGAGAAATGAGTAGCTGCTATTTCTAGTCCACTTCATAAGCAGAGTGAGTACTTTTTATTCAAGAAATGTATACATTTTCAAAATTATATAATTTTTTAAACGATTCATTATTCAAATTAGAAATGTTGCTACATTTCGGGCATTGTGTTTTTGCCGCAAATCTCTATTGAATATATAATTAATTTTTCTCTCACTCTGTAACCAGACCGATTATTTCTCCCAGATTCTCGTTAATGAAAAGCAAACTTTTAAAAAATTATTTCATCATCTCAATATAGAGTCGAAAAACAATTGAATGAATTTAAATCTCATTTGAAATTGTAATATTCGAGCAGCAGTCGTACCAACGTAAATTCTTAACCTCAAATTTGTAAACTACACAATAAACTACCAGAAAACAGATTTGAGAAAAATTCATTTTCACCAATGAAAAAACTATATTTGTACTTGTCACAGGCATTCCAATCGTTTTTTAGTGCAAAAAAAGAAAATGGAATATGATCTTTCGGAGGCCATAATTTTGGAATGATGGAAGAGCGACCCGTTTTGACTTCAGAATCATAATCTGCCTCATCATTTCACGGAAATATAAACATTTTTAGTCAAAATCTCCTGCCGGCAATATTCCTCATATCTATCAGTATTTTTAGAAATATTGGTTTGAATTTTTTCATTACTATTTTATTTTTTGGTATTTAACTTTTCTTTTTGATGAATTTCAAATCTGGAACTTCAATATTCAATTTAATAATTTTTGACAAAATAGCAGACAAAATACAATCGAAATTATCCGGTGCCTTTACTTTCGACGGAGCTTCTAAAAATATTTACTCATTAAAATGAATTCGTCGGAGTGGATTTGTGAGTTTTTTCGGCAATTTGTTAAGCGACGGAACTCCCTAGTACCCGTAATGTTCGAGACGGTCTGCCGCTTCGTCACGGTACACTTGATAGAGAAAGTGATTATTTCATTTCGGTACTCAGCTGTGTTCGGCACCGCGTTTGCACGTATTAAAACCATTTTGGAGTTCCTTTTATTTTGGTAGACCTAATATTTACGAGCTCGTAGGAATTTATTAATAGGAAACATTCATTTTCAGCGCTCATTTCAGACGCATTCGCGAATAATCTAATTCATTACCGTTGATGTCATCATTTGAACATGGAATATCTATGAGGAAGGTATACAAATATACTCAGTTCTGGCGAAGTTCAACGTCAAAGGATATTTAAAAGAGGTGAAATGAATCATACTGAATAAAAATTTAATTTGGAATACGTATATTTTTTCTGAGTTGGCTACTCAGTGTATTTTTCATCATCAGTGTCAGTTGTCGTGTTACTACAACCACAATTCAAAAATGGGCAGTACCTATTAGATATGACACTTATAACAAATGGACAGAGTAGCCAACCTACAAAAAATACATGTTCTTAGAATGACATTCCTATCCGACATATGATCGATTAGTTTAAATTTCAGAGGCTCCAAGGAAAACTTGGAATCAATTAATTAGGAACCATTTTGGTCAATCATTTTAGCGTGGCCTATGTGATTTGGCTTCTAGCTTCTAGCTTCTAGCACACTGATTCTCCACTATGCCACAAGCTGGTACAATCAATCCTAGGTTCATATTAGGGCGGTTTTCCACCAGATGGGCTAATCGAGTCTATTTTGTTCCAGAATTCACACAACACCAACAAAGAAAATAAAACAACAACAAAATAGGACCGATACGAAAATTGTATTTCAAGTGCAGAAAGCACATGTCGTCTTCAGTTTTGTGCATGTCATCAACCATTTCCACCAGAAGAATACGTACTGCACAGAAATAGAGCAAAATATTCAGTGAAGAGTGGCTGGAATTCACTACTTCTAGAGCAAATGAATATATTGAATAAAGTTGCGAATTTGAAAATTCGATAAATCTAATCGGCAGAAAGGTTTTCATGAAGAATACTGACTTTACAGATACTGACGTAAAACTAGGTTACACAGTTTATCGCAAACCTACTCATCTGATTGGTATGTCAGCAATAACTCAAACTACCATCCCTTATCAACCGTATAATCAGGATTTGTGAGCCACATCCTCTTGAAGAATGACTTTGTCATCTAGACCAAACTCTACAGGTAAATGGATTCACAGCGCAAGAAATCAAACGTGCTCTATATCCTAGAAGAAGAAATACCACTCCAGCTTCCAACCACGATCCAGCCACCAATCGTAGGCAGTCAACTTGTCTTACACAAGCAAAGTCACTGACCGAATTGGAAAACTGTTTCAACTACACATCATTGAGACGAACCAACCAATCAGATTGGTCAAGTACAAAAGAGAGCTTCAGACATCCAGCGGTGTTTAAAGCATTTTCTGTTCGTTTTGTTCGAAGGTGGTTGACAATGTTTCGTGGTGCATTTCATTAGTTCGGTCTTCCATTGTCTAATATGATATAAATTGATTTGAAATCTCTGAAAAAATCTGTAAAGATTAGCTGAAAAATAACAATTATATCAAACAAAAAAACTGAAATTACAATGAAATAAAATACAAGCAATAACCAAAAAATAAAACAATTGAACTATTAACACGAGATGAAAATTAAAAAATTATTATTAACAAGAGATGAAAAATAAAAATTCAAAGATTCCAAACCAAGTTACTACACGACGTTTCGATTGTTAGTGTCCACAATCGTCTTCGGGTGATAACTGGACTTATTCCTCCGAGATCTGACTATTTATAGGTCATTCGAGTGCGTTCACCTATCTCCTCTTCCCTCTCTCCGCTTCATCGGTTTTAGCGGAAGCTGACCGTTTGGCGGAAGTTGGTAATGTTCCGCTTGATTAGAAGTTTCCATATGTTGCGTATCTCTACGCTAGCTTGGCTAAATGCGTTGTTGGACAATTTATATGCGACTTCCTTGATTTTCTCCTAAACCAGTGTTCCTCCTTGTGGATGATTTCAGCTTGGGCTCACTTGATGTTATGTTGATGAGTCCAAACATGCTATGCTATTCCTGATTTGCTGGTTTCTCCCAGCTTTGTGTGTTTATTGTGCTCGGCAATGCGAACTTACAATGGCATCGCAGTCCACGTTGGGTGGCCTGGTTTTCGTGAGGCTGCTTTACATGATTTTATATTTCTTGATCACTTGAGCCACTCACTAATATGTATTTTTTATAACATTTTGTCTGGTTTCGGGACGAGGACGTGGTGTAACTAGACGAGGTACAAGGCGAATTTCAACTATGGAAATTGTTGTAGCAGGGCAAAGGCTCTTCGGACCAACCTTCTTGCGCCATTGAGGCTGTTGGAGAATGCAACAGGCAATTGTATCCCAACATTTATATGTTGTTGAACATCTTGTCGACTCTACCAGTAACCACGTGCACCCCGGAAGGGTCATTTTCCACTTTTAGGCGCCTAAAAACCTACCTACGGAATTCTTGTGGGCAAGAGAGGCTAACCGGGTTTGCCCTAATCGCAATTCACAGAGATGTCATCATCTCGAATGATGATGTTATAACAAAATTTGCCTTAAAAAGTCTAGAAGGCTTGATTTTGTATTAAGAATTCACTGAACTGAAATTTGTGGTTTTCAGTTTCAAAAACGAATATGTTAGTACAGTTTTTTCAGTGGAGGGCTTTTCCCATGCCAGGTCTTTTTTATTGAGACCCCCCCGAAACAAAAATCGGGGCAAGAGGTCTAACATTACCCGGGCCAAAAATTAGAAAAGTCGCGGTCGCATAAATTATGAGCCGTTCCGCAGATCAAAGCAGGCTGGGCGTTATTTTGTTTCAGCTTGCTTGTTCCGTCGGTATAAGAGAGCCCGACACTGTCAACACATGTTAGATCATGCATCAAGATGTCTCTGGATCCCAGTCGAGTCGACTATATTAAGTGAATAGATTTGTAAAGGAAATTTATGGTCCAGTAAAACCTTTAATTTCGGATAATTAGCTTACATCGTTATATGTCGCTTTCGGGAAAATATTCATAAATTGTTTTGCATATAGGTTTTTTTTCGGTTTTGTTTCACTCAACATCATTAGCTCATGAGCTTTTCTACATTATTAGTTAGTTTCCGAGCAGATGTTTGTCAAATATTCAATTTACAACTGACGGAAAATATGATAAACACATTTAATTGAATAAAACTTATTTTAAATTCTGGTGACCCTTTTTTCCGGTATTTCACCGTATAAATGCCTTTTATTTATCATACAATTTCTTTTTTCTAAAAAAAAACCGTTTTTGTTTGCTATTTCTCCATTGGGAGAATGATGTTCTTCAGACACAAACTAGACATAAACGTTTTTCTGAAATAACTACTTTCTCTTACGCACATGAAATTATTTTTCTTTCTCAATTTGAACTCCAATAGTAGAAATCGAAAGATATAACGTTCATGGAAACTGGAAGACAACGAATAAATGAAGTAAGTTGATGATCTAAAATTTCACATGTACTTTCAATCTGAAAATTTCAAGCATGATTCATGATGAAAACTTTCGTTTTCGTCTATTGGTTCAAAGGAACCACTCGGTTTGCAATAGTGATTTTGTCTTATAAAAATGGATCACTTTGAAGTCACCTGAATAATCATGGAAGAATATAATACACATTTTTTTAAGTAAATGGTAACTTTTTCAAATTTTTTGTTGAACCCCCGAAATATTGTATTTCATGGAGGATTTTCAGTGGCAATGCATCTAAGTAGCAATCGAATTCATTGAAAAGAAAATGAAGATGTACATGTTTGTTTCCACAATTCCCAACCAAAC